TACCTAATCTTCTTGTATTGGATTTGGATGGCGATTTTAATCTTTCTGATAATTTTGCAGAAGCATTAGCAATCAAATGCCCATCGCTAGTCTCTCTTAAACTTTCAACAAAGGCAATATCTGAAAAAGGGTTTGATATATTAGCAACAAAATTAACAAAACTCAATAATTTAGTATTACAAAATTGTTCCAACCTTACTGATAAAAATATAGAACATTTTGCAGAAAAAAATCCTAAACTGCAAAATCTTCAATTATTGGGTGAAACACTCACAATAAAATCATTTAAAGTTGTAATGTATCTGAAAGAATTAATAAATTTTGATCTCAGGTGCTTACAAGAAGTTGATAATCTGTCAAATGAAATAGAATGGTTAAGACCAGTTTGTCACAACCTGCGTATTATCACGCTTGAAAACTTACCAATTAATGATGACGCAATTTCAGCAATCACTGTGCACTGTAAACATTTGGAGAAAATTGGACTTTCAAAATGTCCACATATTACAAATAACTCGATCAACAGTATTGCAAAAAATGAAAATAATCTTTATGTATTAGACCTAATTGAATGCAAAAACGTCACAGATATGTCTCTTAAATATCTTGGTCGTAAAACCAATTCTTCACTTACCCACATTATTATAGACTCATGTGGTCAATTTATTCCAGAAACTGTGCACTGGTTTGTCAAATCTTCACCAAAACTTGAGAAAATAGTTTTCAATGGAACACCTTCTATTACCAATTCTTTTGTTTATCAATTTGCCACAGAACAACAAAATGCAAGCTATGACTCAGACTCAGTTGGTGATGCTCATCAAAAATGCAGCCTAGGGATGGGGCGGTTCCACTAGGGAATCGGTTCTGAGCGGCTCTGAACCGAACCGAACACAGAACCGCGAATCGGTTCCAGAACCGAGTTCTAACCGTTCCCCATGTGATTTATACCTATATGAGGAAATCCTGAGTTAATCTTTCCTTAAAAGGAAGGATTAATACGAATAACGTGACTTATTAATATTCAAATAAATTAAATTAAATATTATTATTATTATTATTATGTAAATAATGAATAAACGGACAAACAATGAATGAATATGATAGATATTAATATAAAAAAAAAATTGCATAAAATAAAACAAGCATTAATGATTTTTATTAATAATTAGTATAGAATTACAAAAAAACATAAAGAAAATATAAGGAAAAAAATATATAAGTAATTTTGAGAATATTATTCTAGCACTCTAAACCCTACTTTATTGATTATCCAATTCTTCATGCTCTTGCAGTTTCTGGCAATAAGCAATTCCGCACCTTACTGATTGTATTTCCAGCAACTGAGAAAGCACATTCTGATGGAACATAGGTTGCTTGTATTGTAAGATAATCCTGCGCCATTAAGATAATTTCAAAAATCTTTTTACAATTCACACCAAAAGTCTATTTTTTTATTTAAATGATCTGTTAAGATAATTTCAAAAATCTTTTTTTACAATTTGCCAAAGACCATTTTTTACAATTCAAAAAATCATGCCAAAAGTCTATTTTTTACAATTTAAATGATAATGTCAAAAGTCTATTTTTTACAATTTGCCAAAAGACCATTTTTTACAATTCAAAAAATCTTTTTGCAATTCATGCCAAAAGTCTATTTTTTACAATTTAAATGATAATGTCAAAAGTCTTTTTTTTACAATTCACCAAAAGACCATTTTTACAATTCAAAAATTATTTTTACAATTCACACCATAAGTCTATTTTTTACAATTCTTTTTACAATTCACGCCAAAAGTCCATTTTTTAAAATCAAAATGATTTATGTCAAAAGCCTTTTTGCAATTTGCCAAAGGTCCATTTTTTTTATACAATTCAAAAAAAACCATTTGCAATTCGCTAAAAGACCATCTGTTAATATTAATTAAATTTATTTGAGGTCAAAACCACTTCGCCATATCGGGATATTTTAATATCCGTTTTGTCATTTTCATTTACCTTCCTTCATTCCTATTGGTCAATTTAGTAATTGGCAAAACAAAAATAATCGTCAACATTAAATATGGACAATGACTAGATAGTACATAGACTGTTTTCATATTAGGAAGTAATACCCTTAAAGAAATTTTTATATGTAGTGAAAATTTTCAAAGAAAATTAGTTTTGACAATAATATTTTGTGTTACATCTATTTTGGAACCGGTTCCAAGAACCGGTTCGAACGGTTCGGTTCGGTTCTATTGTAACCGGTTCCATGGAACCAGAACCGAACTGAACCGAACCGCCCCATCCCTACAACCAATTGTATATCAGGCTATCTGGAATCAAAACCAGTTTATAAACTCAAATTAAATAAAACATATTGCCGATCATTCCATATATGCTTTTTATAAAATTTTTTGTTGTTGTTTTGGAAGGAACCACCGATAGTAATGATTAGATTATTACCAAGCAAGCAAAGGAATTTTTTATTTGTTATTTATTATTTATTATTTATTTATGTCATTATATCATTTATTATTGTGAAGTTGCTTTTTAAAGCATAAAACATCAAAACATCAAAACTCAAAAACGCAACAACGACAACGACAACGATTATGATAGTGTTGTTTTAATAGAGATGACACATAAAATAAATATCTCACGTTTTTTGCAACTAAAAAACATATAAATGCGAGTGAGTATACATATATATGTGTGTATTTTTATCTATTTATTAATATAAGCATATCGTCATCTTTATATTTACCAATGCCATTTTCTCCGAAATAAGATTTAATTAAAACAAAATTAATTAGAATGAATGCCGTATCAATAGTCACGGTGGCTATACATAATGGCATCTGTGATGGACTTATTTATTTATACATAGATAGATTTGTATATAGATTTATTATTATTTATCTTTAATTACTGCTTGATCAACAAAAGCTGTTTCTTGTGCCAAAAGACAACCAGAAAGAGTATTCTTTGATGGAGGTTCATATGATAAACATAATGTTTTCAATAACTCTATGAAAAATAGGGATGGAAAAGTCGGTCCAGGTCTGGTCCTGGTCCTAGGACCTGCTGGTCTTTTTTCGCAGACCTGAAGACCAGGTCCTGGACCAACCAGCTAGGACCTGGTCCTAGACCTGGTCTTTGTATCACAATTCTCAAAAAAAATTTTTCTGATCAACATTGAGTTACTAACAAAATTTTGAAATGAGTAACTTCATTAAAGAAAATTTATTAATAAAAATTAATCAAATACATTATTTTCAATCCAACTTTTACTATAAAGTATTGCACAAGCAGTTTCTGGATGCAATCTATTTCTTATAGAAGTAACTGTATTACCAGCTACTGAAAAGGATTGCTCACAAGCTACACTTGTGGCTTGGATTGACAAAAAATCTCTTGCCATTTTTGCTAATATCGGAAATTCTTGTTGGTGAACTTGCCACCATGCTAGTGGCATTGAAACTTCATCACATGGCAATGCCAAATATCTTTCTATTTCATTATTATCATTAATGTTATTATTAACATACCTTTCTAATGTAGATGGTTGTGGTGATTGATTATTTGACTTGTGATTTTTTAGTTGTTGAAAATATTTACGATAATTATATTGTGAATTAGTTTGTGGTGGATTTAATTCTTGAATTATAGAATATTCATCTAAATACTCTTGAAATTTTATACAAAGATTAGAAATTGCTGATGATGATTCTGAACCTGGTTGAAAATTTGATAATTTTGCTTGTGGGTTTAAAATAGTTGCTATAATTGTTGATTTATCTATGATTGATCTATACTCATCAAGCTTAGTATTAATAGAACCAGCCAATTCATATTGTAATAAATCATCATCTTCAATATATTCCTCAAGGAATTCTTGTATTGCAGAAAATACCAATTTAACATCAGCAATTGTGGGATAAGAGGATGCAGATAATAATTTTGTTGCATGTTCAAGAGGTTCTAATAACATAACAGTATCCTATATTTTTTAAATAAAAATTAATATTTATTTAACATAATATGAAAATTTAATTATAAAAATATACCTCTATTTTGGTTAAACCCTCATTTGTTGGAAGTAAATCATTGATAACTCTTTCATTTGCAGCCAACATTCTAAGTGAAGGTTCTAATTTTTGAAATTTTTTAATCATATAATATGTGGAGTTCCACCGTGTTTTAATGTCTAATTCAGGTTTCAAGTACTCCAAATTTTGAAATTCACACAGTCGTTTTAAAGAATCACACAACAATACTGAATTTTTTATTTTAGACATTACTTCACGAACTTTTGAAACTTCTACATCAATTATTTCTATTCCTTGTTTTGCTGCAAGATTAAGGATATGTGCAGCACATCTATAATGTTTGAATAAAGTATTATTATTTGCCTTTAATTCATCTTCTATTGTTCTACCTGCTGCAACCATAGCAGCTTCATTATCACTGGTTAATCCAATTAACTTTCCCAATAAATTGTACTCATTAATTATATTCAAAATTTCTACAGAAATGTTATGACTAGTATGTCTTTCTTTAAATGAAATAATGTCTAATAAGAAATGTTTGAATTCCCATTTTGAATCAATGTAATGAATTGTCAACCCTAAAAAGAGTCATTGTTCAATGAGGTCCACATGTCAGTGGTCAAAGAAGCTTTTCCAGGGATAGCATCAATTGTTTTATTTATTGAATTTTTTTTTTGATTAAAAAATTCAATTACCAAATTTTTTAACTTATGTCTATCTGGTAATTTATATCTGGAGTCAAACTGTTTGATCATTTCAATAAAATACTTATTTTCAACAATATTAAATGGTTGTAGATTACCTATTACCCATCTAATTAATAAATTATCTCTTTTATTTCGTTCATTTTCTGGCCAAGGATTAATTACTTGAAAATTAAGCATGGTTTGTAATGTATTTGATTGCTTTTTTTTTATTTTAATATTGTGTAAATTGACCATGTGCCGTTCAATAGATGAGTTGCCAGATTTATCAGAAAAAACATAGCTACACTTTTTACAGACTCTCTTTTTAGAATTGTTGTAACTTATATAATTCCAAATATCTGCAAATTTTTTTCCATTTTTTTCATTATTAACGAAATTAAATTCAGTATCATTTTGTTGCTTCTTCTGGATTGTCAACATTAATTATCTCATTGACCAAAAAATTATTATCAGATGGTTGAGGAGTTTCTATTGTTTGTGTCTCTTCCAAGCTATTTCCTTGGTCATTATAATCATAAAAACTACAATAATTATCATTATAAAAATTATCTGAAACATCCATTTTAAAGAATTAATTAAAAAAATATCAATGTATATTGTATATCTTTTTTATGAAAAATCTTTGTTAAGAAAAATTGTTATATTATTATCATTATTCTATTATTACTATTATTTGTTATCATTAATATTTGTTGTTGTTATTATTATTATTTTATTATTATTATTTATTATTGTTGTTGTTGTTATTATTATATTATATTACTATCAATTAATTACTATCTCTATTATTTGCACATATGAGGTGGATGAATTGCTTATAATTGCACAAAATGAATTAAAAAAAAATTAAAATTATTTATTTGAAGAATATTATATCTTAGGTGATCTAACAAGTATTTTGATGCTAAAAATATTAATGTAATAATAATAATTAGTGATGTTTATTTTTTTGAAAAACAAAAATAATATATTTGAAAGAATAATTGTGTAAAAAAAAAAAACTTAATTTTCAATTCTTAAATCTGATTGGCCGGACTTTTTAGGACCTGGTCCTGGGCTGGTCCTAAAATTTGGACTGGTCCGGTCCGGACCTGGTCTTTAGGTCCGGACCTGCGGACTTTTCCATCCCTAAATATAGCGCAAAGGCAAATTATTTCCTGTTTGGACTGGGATATTTTCATTTTCTCCGCTCAGTATTTTGTCACCAACTTTTAATCCTTTGGGGGTATGAAAAGATGTCTTTGAATTGCCATCTTCAATACGGAATTTTCCTTACAAAGTATCTCTTCGGACAAGCACTAATCTTTCCTGAGGTCTTTTTGAGCACCCATTGGGATGGTAACATGGCCGATTACAGACTTCTCCAGTTCTAAGGATATAGGGACAACGATAAAATGCCATTCTTTTTGATGTTTATCTTGATTGAGTATATAATATGTACTGATCAATATTCTTTAGAATTAATTTTCATTTTGAACTTTTTAATTCCGAATATTATACTTTCAGAAAAAACATGAGTACCCAAAGTGAACATAGCATGCCTATTGTACCTGTATCATCCGATATACCAACTGTGGAAAACCAAAATTTCCAAGAAAACATCAATCACGCGCCAACAGAGGCGGAAGTATCACTTTCTCGACCAGAGAGCCCAGAAATTGCTGAAAATTTCGAGCCAGAGTTAGAGGCAGAAAATAACAGGGCGTTCTACCACTGGGGGTTTAAAGCCGAAAGTGTGGCTGAATATATGTATAAAATTCGTGACGATAGTGTAAAGCCAAGACAATTCTTAGGGACGGATACCGAAGATGGGATAGAAGCTATATTTAATGAACGACAAGGACATTCATTACACGAATTCATTGATGGGGACGATCCACTTCGCCCCTTCATTGATTTTGATTTGCCCCAAGAAACGTTAAATAATATCGAACCAAAGCTCACACGTAAACAAGTTTATTATGCCCTAATTGGAGCTTTTAGAGGTACTTGTATTGAGATTTATAAAGACTGGGATATTAAAACCTTAACTGTAACCAGTAGTAGCGACCAGAAAAAAATGTCATATCATATATCAACATTTGGTCTACGACTCAAAAATATTGCCAAAGTTGCTTCTTTTGTTGATCTCGTCAGTAAGAAGCTCCCAGTAAGTTTACAAGCTGAGGGTATTGTCAATAAAATTGCAAATAAAAGTGCATTCTCCTTGCGAATGCTTGGAACCCCAAAGGTGGTCGAAATAAAATGTGAGAAAACTGATGAAAAAACTTATAAACATGTTCGCCCAAAGAGAGCTGTTATACCCGAAGATGGTACAATTTTTGACTTTATGCTTCGCCCACCTAACGATGATGCACCAGTTATAGATAGTCCAATGTTAGACGTTCCAGACCCTAAAACATCGAATAATTATAGGTCCATAGACCATGCTTTGCATAAAAGTGATGCAGGAACATTCGG